CTCCTTCCCTCCTTAGCCCAACTTGCCAGCACCATTAATTTCACTTACAAGAGTTTGTGGTCACATCTTCATTTGCTGTTCTGCCTTCCTTTCTTGAATGCCATGAGGGCAGGTTTGTGCGCAATCGCCAGCTTTCAGCATGGCATTGGGCACATGATTGACAAAAGAATCAATAAATTCTTTTGTTGAGTGACAGTTCAGCTGAATGAATGCTGCCTTCTCTGACATTATTCCCTTTCTTTTGTATTTCTGGGAGGATTATTTTCACTATGTATATTTTCGTTGGTTTCAGAGGATAGTATAGAAAGCAGATGAGAAAAATACTGTGTCTTCTTTGTGTTTCCTTTAAACAGTTGGCTAAAATGTACCTTTAAAAATAACTCTACAAGGAGAAATCAAGATGATGGAGGAGTGAGTGGAAGTCACACTGACCTCCTACCAGGACCAATCAGGAATTACAATTAAATCATGGAGAAATCACCTGAAACAAATAAAACTGAACAATCACAAGATAGGAGCCTTATAACCTTGGACAGACATAAAAATCAGCATTAGCACAACCAGACTGCCCTGACTGGCACTTACCATGGTCTCTAGCAAAGGTGGGATAGAGTGAGTTGGAGCCCCCAGAGGAGATACTAGGGAAGGAGGCTTTGGGGAGAGAACTCAGAAAGTAGCTGGCGGGATCCCAAGCTGACTCATCCCCCATGCGGCAGCAGCCATCTTGCTCAGGCAGACCACTCTCCTGAGTGGCAATAGCGGACAAGGACCCAATAACTCTGCCCCCAGGAAGGACACTTCCCCCCCCATCTAAGCAAACCTGCTGAGTGCAGAGTGACTAGATTAACAGCTGAAGGAGACAGCCACAGACAGTCGATTCCTAGAAGTCTCGAACAGACTGCCTGAGGTCACACAGGGTCAACATCTGACATCATCAGAGGCAGATCCAGAAAGAAAAAACATATGTCTCCTACCATAGAAATTCACACCACAAAGTCAGGAAATCAAGGCAGATCCATTTAAGGAGCAGAAGCAAAAAAGAAGAGTCTCACAAATATTGGGAAGACAAAGAAACACCCCCCAGTCGAAGGGAAAGGAGGAATCCCCAGAAAGAGAACCAAGTGAAAGAGAGGCAAGTAAACTATCAGATACTGAGTTCCAAACAATGGTTCTAAGGAAGCTCAGTGAGCTCAGAGAGAATTACAAAAAACTACAGAAAAACTACGAGGAATTTACTGCAAACTATATCAGCATGAACAAGGTCATAGAAACTACCAAGAAGAGACAAGAGGAAATGAAGAATACAATTTCTGAACTGAAGAACACAGTAGAAGGAATCAAAAGCAGACTAGATGAAGCAGAGGAACAAATCAGCAAGCTGGATGATGAGGTAGAAAAAAGCTCCCAGAAAAGCAAGAAAATGAAAAAAGACTCCAAAAGCACCAAGAGGCATGGAGGGAAATGCAGGACAACCTGAAACATCATAATATCCATATAATAGGGACACCAGAAGGAGAAGAAGAGCAGCAAGGGATAGAGAACCTGTTTGAAAAAGTAATAATGGAAAACTTCCCTAATTGGAGGAGAGAAAAAGTCATACAAGTCCAGGATACACAGAGGGTCCCATTCAAGAAGAACCCAATGAGGCCCACTCCAAGACACGTCGTCATTAAAATGGCAAATATCAGACAAAGAGAGAATCCTAAAGGCAACAAGGGGAAAAGAAGTAGTCACACATAAAGGAGCCCCAGTACAGCTAGAAGCTGACTTCTCAACAGAAACACTGCAAGCCAGACGGGAGGGGCAAGAAATATTCCAAGTCATGGAAAGCAAAGGCCTGCAACCAAGACTGCTCTACCCAGCAAGGCTCTCAATTAAAATGGAAGGTGAAATAAGGAGTTTCCCAGATGAAAAAAGGCTGAAAGAATACAGCTCTACCAAAACGGCACTGCAAAATATGCTAAAGGGACTGCTTTAAGAAGATGAAGAAAAAGAGTTATGAATACCCAGTTTCTTTCACAGTCACCAATAGTTGATATAACCAATATTTTTAATATTTATTAATCTGATTGTGACAATGATGTGGTACTTTAATTGTTCCTTTATTATTTGTTGAAACTAAACCTGTTTTGTGTATTTCTTGCCTATTTCTATTATTTTTAAAAAATTTTAAATGACCTTTTGGTATTCTTTATCCATCTTTTGATTAAATGTTTGTAGAACTTTTTCCCTTAAAAAAAAAACCCCCAAAACTATTAACCCTTTTTTAGACATGTTGCAAATACTTTCCTATTCTATTACTTGTCCTTTAACATTTTTTATATGTATATTACTATATAGTCTTAAATGATTAATATAGTCATATTGTCAATATTTTACTTTATAGCTTCTGGGTTTGAGTATTTTACTTCAGGGTAAGAAAAATATTATTTTGTATTTTCTCCTAAAACTCCTTAGATTTTATATATTGATTTTTAATTCACCTGAATATTGTTTGTATATTGTGTGAAATAGGGCTCTATATTTGTTTTATTTCCAGTAAGAGTGGTCCATGCACCTTATTTGTTGAATAAGCCTTATTTTCCGCACTGATTTGAAATATCAATTGAATCATATATTACATTGTTAGACAGATATGTATGTTTGTTTCTAAAATGCTCATTTTATTTCATTGATGTACTTGATTATTTCTGTGCTGGTGTCATTTTTTTTAATCTCTGAGACTTTAGAATAGATTTAAAATTTTTAATATTTTATAATGGATTTTGACATTTAAAAAAATAAAATCAATCGGCATTTAAAAAAAGAAAGAAAGAAGGAACTCCCACCTTTTGCAACAACATGGATGGAACCGGAAAATATTGTGCTAAGTGAAATAAGCCAGTCAGTGAAAAACAGATATCATATGATCTTACCTATAAGTGGAATCTATTCAACAAAATAAACTAATGAACAAAATAAACCACAGGCATAGAAACATGGAGCAGACTGAAAGTGACCAGAGAGGATGGGGAAGGAGGACAGTGGTAGAAAGAAGGGGAAGAAACTAAAGAAAGAGCCTGTATGAATGACCCATGGACATGGGCAATAGAGTGGGAATTGACTGGGAGTTGGGGCTGGGGGTGGGGTGGGTGGAAGAGGGCAAAGGGGGAAAAATCGAAACAACCATAACAGAATAAACAGGATTAAATAAATAAATAATAAAAACAAACAAAAAATAACTAGTGTAAGTGCTAAACTATCAAAAAGATACTAATGGATAGAAAGAAATAAAAAGAAACCTAACAAATCTCATTGATTAATTTTTGAGTTAATTTCTAGTTGAATGTGGAAAATGTAGAAACATGATAGTATTTCCAAATTAAATAGAAGAGCATGGACTTTATTTCTATTTTGCTATGGAATAGTATGTGAGCCTTCATAGATAAGTAAACTTCTCCCTAAATCAACTTTTTTTCTCCATTAAATGTGAGAATCTTTACTGTTGTTAAGTCAGCTGTATGGGGATTGTGGATGCAATATTTATGAAGTATATTCTGAGATCCTTTGAAGTGCCTACAATGTACTTAATGAGCTCTTGTTATTTTTGCAATGCTTTTAAGCATTTTAAACTCAAAACAAACTAGTGAAAACAGAAATGTAATTATCCAAAAGAACAAAATGCTACGAGATGGACCCTGAGTTGAATTCAGTCACCCAAGAGTTTGATTTAAACACTCTTCTTTAAACTAAAATAATCCTATGAACACTGGCTTGCACTGGAAAGCTGAGAGACACAAAATTTCTCCATATTGCAGTAGCACTTTTCAGTTATGCTATGGGAACGATTTGCAGCTTATTGTCTTCATTTCATTCTGGGGCTGATAGACACTATTCAATTTCAGATAACTGTTTTCCTATTCAATTTAACCAAGATTCCAGTAGAGGGAGCAGAGTCAACAATTAAAAGAGCGATTTTAAAAACTCAGACATTCAACAGTGAAAGGAGTGAATGCTGAATTGATTTGAGAAAAACGTAATTTTAGTGCCAATAACATGGTTTATCTGTCTTCCAAATTATTGTTGTCATAAAGGCAATTGTTTGCATGTCTTTAACATCTGCTAGGAAACATTCATTTATGCAATTATGAGTGCCTGAAGAGCCAATAAGTCACTGATGAATTTCTAAAAACAACCAGAGGGGTAATCATTCATTATTATTGGTTAATGAGTTACAAAGCTTAAGGAGCCGCAAAAAAGTATAACATTTAGAGTCTTTTAGACCAAGTCTGACTACATATAGAATCAGAAATTCAAAATATCAGTGTAAGCTATAGCAAATCTGTAATTGTTAACTGAGAAAGGATGGAAGAGAAGAAAAATGGGGAAACGGCCAAAAGGGCAAGTCCATGCTTGTATGTTTACCATGAATCATGCTTAAGGAACTGAGTCATGTGTGGGAACTGGACAAGTGCGTATTGATGAAGCTGAAAGAGTAACAAAGGCAAGGAGCTGTACCAGCCATGAGGAAGTGAGTTTACAAATCTTACTACAAATTAAACAGTAAGAAAGAGAGAGCTCTGACACTCATGGAAACTTACTTAAATGGTCACCTTGCCAACTCCTGCTGCCCTGGTGTTGGGGCACTCATACCTTGTGTGGCTGTGCGTGGCAGTCCTGCTGACTATGCTCTTGGCAGTTTATTTTCATGAAAGGAGGCCATTATTTAAACAAAAATTCTCAGGAAAGATAGTTGAATTAATTATCAGTGATAAGATAAGGATTTATCCACTAATAAAATAGTAGTTAGTTTTAAATTGATTTTCATGACTAGAAACTTTTTATTCTTTTTTTTTAACTTTTTAAGAGTGAAATCTTATTTTACGTCAAAGTTATTGCATATGTATATATATACTTACATTTGTATTTATATACATATGTGTACTATATTACCTATTAAATAAACTTTAAAAGACTATAGTTTTATAATGAAGAACAAATACAAACACAAAAACTAGTTCTTGCTTCAGCAGCATATAGACTAAAATTGGAATCACATAGAGAAGATTAGCGTGGAGCCTGCATGAGGATGATGTGCAAATTTGTGAAGTGTCCCATATTTAAACAAACAAAACAAAACGAAGTCACCAGGCCCATGCCCCACCCTTCCATGTCTGACTCCTACTTCCCAAAGGCAACCATTTGCACTTCTTAGTCCAGAGTAACAATTTTCAACCTTTTCTATCTCATGGCACACATAAACTACTTACTAAAATTTTGCAGCACACCAAAATATATATTATATTTTTTGACCATCTGACAAAAAAAAAAAAAAAAGGTTTAATTTTGATTTATTCAGACTGGATGGCTATTGTTGGTTGACTGTTATCATTTTTTCACTTGACAATTTAAGGGAAAAGAGGTCAGTGCCCCTGACTAAGTGGTCAAGTAGCATGTCTTAAAAATTCTTGCAGCCACTGGTTGAAAATTGCTGGTCCAGACTCTCTCAGGGGCTGCTTTTTTTCGACTGTAACTTTCTAGTCTTCTACCAGGGTTAATATTGGTGGCGGGAGTTTTGGTGGTGAGGAGACAGCTGTCTGGCTTTGTGAGTTAAGGGAGATGTTTAATTGCTTATTATTAGGATTTTTAGCGACTCTCTCTATTTTCAATAATACTTGAACCTTCAAAAGTACCCCTTTCTAGGGCTTTGCATTGGAATTGGCTTGCTTCTTGACTTACCCCCATGCCATTTCTCTGCTAGTCACTTCTTTTTTTTATTTAACCTTTATTGTATTTTTTCCTGGCTAAGTCACTTCACAAATTTGTTAACACATCCTGTCTATTATAATTGACTCTCCTATTCCCCTTCTCTTTGTAGGTTTTTGCTATTTAAATTACTTTTCCGCCACTTGAGATAAACACATGTTTAATCTGCTAAGTGTTTCTGATATTTTTCTTAAGCTAAAACTACAATACCAATCATTCAAATATCTACTTGTTTTAGGTACGATGCTTTATTTTTCCAATCCATACCAGCCTGAGTAAAAATAGCTGTGATTTTTTTTGCATGGCATTGTTCCTAGTCACACTGAGGAACTTTAGTCTGCAATAAATTTCCTTCCCAAACTATTCTGGAAGTTCTAGCCTTGGCTGGGATGACTCGTCTGTATGCCGAGAACTAGTTCCTTTGATCATAGTATGGCATCTGCTGCTGACATCTTCTTCTTGCTGTTGCCTTGACTTCTGTGCTAAGATGCTATCAATGATCAGTTAATGGTGCTTCAGATGCTCAAACCAGGCATTTTCCACCTGAGAGACACTAAAATGTGTCCAGTGCTTTCTTGGTACCACTATCACCAGTGCCACCACAATTAGCGATGCCACTGCTCTTGATCCCAATTTTGCAGTTGGGCACTTTAGATACTCCTTAGAAGGGTTCTGGGTCCTCCATGTAAACAAACCCTTCCTCAGTCATGCTTGAATCCCAGTGTAGAGACAGCTTGGGTGCAAGTTAAGTGATTTACCCAGGGTGATCCCACCTGTAAGTCCGTATGCCTCCAAAGAGTATGTCTTTAAATACTGTACAACCAGAAAGATGTCAACACATTTTCCATTATTAGTTGGGGAGGGTGTCTTGAAAGAGATGAGATTTCAGTAGTATCAAAAGAAGCATAGTGAGGTAAGGAGGGTGTTTAGAGGGAATGGTTGGGAGTTCCAACTAACTGGTGAGTTTGGGTAACTTTGCTCTCCACCTACTATCTGGCTGGTGACAGTGTCCTATTATTCCCTCATTAATATGTGAGCCCCACCTGACCTGGTGCTCAAAGAGAACAACTTTCCTAAGTAGGAGAACCCTGTGTTTCAATCATGGACATACTGGTGATTTTTCTATCTTATTAGCATAACTCTTAATGTCTCAAGGTGGGACTAAAATGATGAAGAAAGAAATGAGATGTGCAGAATAAAAGTCTTCCTTTTCTAAGTGAGATAAAAATGGCAAAGTTTCCTTAGTCCTATAAGGTCCAGTATAAGACCAATTTTCTCATAAAAATCCCTTCCAGATCTTAGCTGGTTGGGAGTTAATCTCTTTTTCTACCAAACTTACAAAGAATGTTCATTTTATGTACATTAAATAGTTAATCACAATGTTTCCACTATCACAGTATTCCAAGAAGGATCTGCTATGTAAAATGAGCCTTAGAGAGATGGGTTGGATAAGATAAAGGGAGGGGTGAAAGACGAAAGAGCATTTCTGGAGGAAGAACACCATGCACAAAAGCATCAGGACATGAGGGCAGGCTGTTCTTCGGAAACTACACATAGGTTGGCATAGTTGGATGGGAATTGTTTGTGTTGCAACACGACCCAACACAAGGCCAGAAAAGCATCAAGGGCCAGAACCAGACCAAGCTGGCTTCTTATGTCATGTTGAGAAGCTCAGACTATTCTGGAGGCTCTAAGAGCCACTGTAGGATTTTTAGCAGAGATATGACATCATCTTTGGATTTAGTAAATCTCTTGGGTTTTTTTTTTTTTTCTTTTTATTTAAAGGCATAAACAGGGAGTGATGTATCATTTTTGGTGATCGTATAGTATATTTTAGTTCATTTTCTCTCTCTCTTGGTAGCAAGCATTGAATTTTTTTTGTCATTTTGGATTTTTTTGGTCATTTTGTGCATATCCATATTAACTTTGAATTAGACACCAATAGGCTTAAATTAGAACAATTCTTCACACGTTCTTTCCTTTGTGGTCAAGCAATCTTCCTAGTTGCATTTTTAGGAGACTTACATGTCTGCTAGTCTCAGACTGGCTGTAAGAATCTTCTTGAACCCTCTTGCAATTCCAATTAGTCATAGATCAAAACAATAATGTGGACAGATTAAAGCAGAAGCCCTCATGCTTTATTTCCTAATATCATCTGTCTTTGCTTTGAAAAGCACACCAATGGAATCTTCTGCATCTGCACACCCCAAAGGCAATTTAATCTCCCTTGGCTAACATTAAAGCTTTAAAGTAACTCTATGCTATGATGTATTTTCCTCCTTTTCCAAGTTCAACCATTATATAATTCACTTTCTATCAGCCTCATTCTCGTAGATGGGCAGTTGCCACATTGTTTATAGTTTTTAACATCATCTAAAATAAACCTTACGAGGTTAAAGTAAATTAATTTTTCCACATATTGTCGTGTGAAAACTGAATATAGACAAGGACATAATCTAGAGTCTGGTAACACATGTTGCTTTGTAATATTTTTGCTAATCTACTGTCTTAAAAATTTTTGGAAGTAAACCACTCATTCACATATCTTAAATACAAAAACAATTTTTCCCCACTTATTGGATCTATTTTAGAGTAGATTGCCCATCTAAATTCAATCTTATCTTTAAAATGCATCAATTTTTTCAATGCTAAAATTTCATACAGAAATATTAAAAAAATTTATTCTGTACTTTAATGCCTTTTAAAAAGAATTTAAATTTTTCTTGGTTATTCATGGCTGCCATTATAAAAATACCAGTACCTGCACTGGGACATCTTCTGAAACTACTGAAAATGTCATCTGTAGGACTCCTCATCTGCACACCAAATGAAGGCAGATAGATTTGTTCTAATTTGGGGGTCTAATTTGGGATTTCTTTCTCCTCCACAATGATTGGGTTATTAGTTCATAAATCCGACAGTTATCAAGGAAAAGTGAAAGACTTCTTCATGTGTAGCTTTTATGTAAGTGCAATTTATACTCAATGTGCATTCAGAAGATAAATTACCAAGCTTATCAAGAAAACAAATAGGATATGGAAGAGAGTCAAAGGCCTCTCTTTCAAGAGGCTTTAGTGTATGGGATTTGTGCAATAATATCTGACACTTAGAGCCCTATTACATTTCTTGGCTCACTTTTAAGAGGCTGAGGTTGCTGGAAGACTGACTCCGGCAAAAGGGAGGCATTACTCATCTTCCGGGTATGACACGGACTCTTTTATGGGTGCAGATGAACACAAAGTGCATCACTTTAGGGTCTGGAGGCCTATATATAACTTTTATAATTTCATTTGTTTCATATCATAACACCAGTAATCTGTTCAATGGAATAATCATATTCTGAAAATTAAGAGTGCTTTAGGTTATCACCCCAAATTTACCCTTCTTTTTTAACCAAATCTTAAAGGGTAAGGGAAAGTAATAAAAAAAGAAATCATTCGTTTTGCAGTCTCTTTCTGAAAATTCAGCTTGCCATATTGATTCATTTAAAGTCCATTCATTCATTAGTTGGTGAATTTATAATGAACACTTTTTAAAATGTTGAATAAGTGTTACTTTATAACCATGTTATCTAATTTTCCCTCAAATCATAATTCACATGTATTCACTCATTTATTGACTCAGCCAACCTTTATTGAGAAGCTTCTATGTTCCAGATGCATAAAAAGTACCAGGAATGCAAAATCCAATATGGACACTATTAAAATCTTTCAGACCAGATTGTAATCTCTTTGATGGCAGAGATTTAGTGAGAATTAAATATTCAAATATGATTATGCTCATATATGAATTATTTATAATATAGTATATGTGGGTTGAAGCTTCAACCTATGGATACGTTGAATACTCTAGGAGAGAAAATTTAACCTGAAACCATGACGTTTGTGCCCAGATGTTCCAAGTGAATTATGCTATCCACTTAGGATTAGTTTTGCATTGTCCTTTTTGATCATAGGATGTGCCTCATACAATCAACTCGTGCTGTGGTATGCATATGCCATGTGTAACACATTTTTTGCTACTGACTACAATGATTGAAGTCAGATGTTATAAGCACTCGTTTAGCCAGTATCCTTAATAGTATCGTAATGCTGGTGTTGAGAGACAAGGATCATACCCTTGCGGTACAGACCCCCCAGGCCTATCCTTTCTTAGGTTATATTTATTTAACAGCATTCTTGAGACAAAGGCTCTGCCTATTTTCCATTTCAAAAGGATATTTCTTATTGTAAAGACTCAGACAAGACAGGAGGGCTTGTTGTGACAGTTTGATGTGGGAGATGTGTTTAAATAGGAAAGCAATGTGGAGCCCGTCGTCTCCGCGCAGGCAGTTTTTACATGGACGCACTTGCACAGAG